TAAAATCCTAACTAATCATATCAAGCTACCCAATTTGTTTATATAGTCAAAAATACCATGATTTAATTTAGGGTTTAGTTCAAAAATACCATAATTTAATTCAAAATAAACCTTAGACAAAATAAATTAGACAATCCTATTATAACCAATTAATATCATAAATATTAATTTCCATTTAATCAAAACAATCAATAACATCAATTTAATTCAACATAAAAACATACATATTAGAAAGTATCAACAATATCACTTTCTCATCACAATTTATTTATCAAGCAGAATTGAAATTATATAATTAAACTAGTTTCTCTTACCTCAATTGTGAGTCATTATCAAAACTAATTCCATTATCTTTAAAGACCCTTATTTACAATCAAATTTAATCACATTCTAATAATCTTAATCGAACAAAGATGCATCTTGAACCCTTAAACATCACATAAAAGATCCACAACCCTTACATGAAACAAATCTCATTAAGACTCACAAGAAGGACAAAATATGAACCTACTCTATTTAAAATTATGACCAAATAAAATTATAACACTCTTCATCAAGACTCTTATGATATATTTCAATTGTCAAACAAATAAAAGACGTAGTCAAAGATTCAGAAAAAAAAGATAAAAAGAATAAAATAAAATGTTTTAGAAAGATAATAATTCTTATAAAATGAAACTTGAATAATAAAAATTTATAAAAATTTGCAACAAAATATATAAATATCATTTATAAAATCATTTCTACTCTAAACTATTTCCTAGATCCTTAAATTTTTTTTAAAACAAAAACAAGTAAATTAAAATAAAAAATATTAATGAACTTCTAACTATATTTTTAAAAAATAATTTTATTTTTATTTTTTATTTAAAATATTTTATAAATGCTTATCATCTAATTTTTCTATAACAAATTAAGTGATTAAAATAAAAAATATTTAATTAATTTTTAGCTATATTTTTAAAAATTAATTTTTATTTTAAATTTTTTAATTTTTATAATATATATATATATATATATATATATATATATATATATATATATATATATATATATATATATATATATAGAGATATATATATAGATAGAGAGAGAGAGAGAGAGAGTAAATGTATTACACTACATTATTTAAGGCTTAATACCCTCTTTGGTCCCCACTTTCGTTGGACAATGTCAATTCAGTCCTCATTTTTAAAAGTGTTTGAAATATGTCCACAGTTAGTAAAATTTGGGTCTAATTTGTCCCTTCCGATAAGTATAACCAAACGGAGTTAGTGCATTAATGATCTGACACCAGTTATGGAAATGTGTCAATATAAGTGTCAATATATTGACAACGTGTCAATATATTGTTTTGTGTGTGCTGACGTGTAATTGACTTAAAAAAGATATAACTTTTTAGGGTTTTTTAATTTGGGGAAAATGTGATTTAGGGCATAGACAGAGTCTTCTTTAAATTTGTCTTCTTCTCAGCGGTGGGTCTTCTTCCTCTCCTTTCCCTCAAGTCGCTGCAGTAACTGTGGAGCTTCACCAGGTTCGCGTGGTGGATCGAGGAGAGGATGAGGATCTCGTTACAGAAGGACTTGGTAGAGAACACGACGGAGGAGTGGTTGCGATGGAGGTACTTCACCGCCGCAAGGCGACCGTCACGGAGCTCCGCAAGGTAGACGGACCCAAACCCGCCGTCCCTGATTTTCCGCTTGGGGTCAAAGTTGTGGGTAGCGGCAGCGAAAAAAGCCATTTTGTTCGATTTGTATTTGCGAAATCCATGGTGGGGTGAGTGTGGATTGGGAGCTGTAGCGGAAGCAGAGGAATGGTTTGTTCTAGGAGGATGAGTTGAACCCGCAGGTGTTGTTGTTGGCGCGACAGACAATGTAGTTAGTGAAGTATGGGTCACGGCTTTGGTCCCAATCGAGTTGGATTCCTTTATTGAGGAACTGTTGGAGGAAGCTGAGGATGTCGGTTAGGTAGGGGGAGTCTGAGTACTAAGGGGACTGGTGGGTGGATCTGTAGTCAGGAAATAGGTGGGAGGGAGTTTTGATGAGGTTGCATTGGGAGGGGTAGTGGGAGGGAAGGCGGCGAGCAGGGGCGGAGGAAGGAGAGGCGAGAGCAAGTGGCAACTGTACAAATTTGAAGAAGAAGACCCATCGTTGTACCGGTGTGGTCCCCACTCAAAGCGACGAACTCCTCCACGGAGAAGCTGCAACGGGTGAAGCCGCGATGGGTGAAGATTTCCGTGATTTGAGACATTGGCATGGATGGAGTGAGAGGTGGTTGGGGACGGAGGCTGATGTCGGGGTCGCCGAGGAGGGAGAGGTTGACGTCTATGTCGCGATGTAGAAACCCTAAATCAATTTTTCCCCTAATATAAAAGCCCTAACTTTAAAAAACCTCAATATGGTGTTTTATTAACATGTCAGCACCGTACAAAATAATATATTGACACATTATCAATAATAGGTGCCAGATCATCAACACACTAATTCTGTTTGATTATACTTAATGGAAGGGACAAATTAGACGCAAATTTTACTAACTGTCTGTAAACATATTCTAAACACTTTTAAAAATGAGAACTAAGTTGACATTTTCTAACGAGAGTGAGGACCAAAGAGGATATTAAGCCTTCATTATATTTGATATTATCTCAATTTCTTTTAAATATATATATATATATATAT